TCTAAAGAGCCTTCCTCTAACTTACACTGCTCTTGCATTGGAAGAAAAGATACTTAAGTTGGAGGAAGTGATGTCACATGTCAATATAATACTCTAGCACCCCCCAAAGCTCTATGGTGACACCATAAAGGTTTTGGGATTGCTAGAGTGTTGCAGTGGCACATGATATCTCTTCCAGTTTCATGACTAGAACCATTGCTGCAGTATTGCTGCAACAGCATTCCCACCCCCAAATTTCTCCTGCTGCTGCACCAAGCAGCAATGGTGGGGAGTGGGAAGTCTCCCATTATACCAAGAGCCCTGTTTCCCCTCTGTGTCACAGAAAAGAACTTCCCTTTTAGCAGTGGGTTTCAAACTATTTTCAAGGAACCCCAGAAACTTATCCAGGAGCTCTCCATAAGAAGGCTGAGACAAGATAGACTGGCTTCCTTGAAATGCATCTTTTTCACCACTACAAAAATCCTTTGCAACATGCAGCCACAGAGGAGCATGTTCTAGTAGTTCACACGTACACAGAGATATGAAGTCCAATAAGCCTGGCAGTATGCTGGATAAGCTTAAGCAAGTGCCCTAAAAATCAGTTGCCTGAATCTTCTGTAATATGTAGAAGATGCACAGCAGTTTCTTGGCAGTGAAGCTAATGTGACTCCTCTTAGAGCAGAAAGCCTTACAGACATGTACACACAAAAACCAACATTCTCAGCTTGGGTAATTGTAGAAATATTTCCTAATGGCATTTCCCAATGGCAAAGCAGACTATAATTATTACTAATGTGCACCTACAGTTATGTCTTGTGATTTTACAACATGCATGAATTTGAGTAATCTAGACGGCTTTGTTCTGCTTGATTAGTACTAAAGGTTACACAGGCCCACAGGCAGAAAGGGATCCTGTCACTGACAGCTTAATGCCATTCCAAAAATTTCAACCGGGGGTGATGTGTTCCAATATTATTTACAATATTCCTGAGGGACCAGCAACATAGTTTCATGCATGACAAAGAAAATGCTCTCTGCTTATCCATAGTAGGTCTATAGCAACATTGTGTTGTATCTCACATATAGTAGTACTCTTTTTCCCCACCGCCCTCAAGGGAGAAGTTTTCATCAACTTTTCCTTTAAGAAGTTTATGATGGACAGGCTAGCTTCCGCCTCTCCCTGGGAGTGAACAGTAGGAGCTGATAGAATGTTGGGATGTCAGCCATTTCTTTCCCCTATCTTCTGGGGTGGGGGGCTTTATTTTTAAAAAATCAGCACTGGGATATTGTTATATTGATATACCATTGTAACAATATGTGTAGCAGGTTCTCTGAATTCTCAGCATAATTTTTTAAAGAGTAAGTCTCTAGTTTTTTCCTTTGCAGACATATGAGGAAAAGGCATATCTTTGCAAGGGAAGAGGATAGAGACTTACTTTTTTACATGAAAGCTGGGAATTCAGAGAACCTCCTAAAGTGACAATGGTATATCAATATAATGATATTCTAGTGCCATTTTTAAAAAGAACGCAAAAGCTTTGATGGCCCAGGAGATGCGGTTGCCACTTCTGGGGGACTGAGGTGGGGAAATTGTGGGGAAACCTGCCATGGGGAAGCCACGTTACTGCCACAGTTCATCTGCAGCTGCACCAGCAATGGGGAAACCACAAAATCCTGTCCCTATGGAGAAACCACCTATAATTGTACCTAGTGATATGTTCCTGTGCTGTTTGGAAGATACTTGGAAAGCAGATAAATATCTCCTTCTTTGGAGGGTTTTAAACAGAGGCTAGATGGCCATCTGACAGCAATGCTAATTCTGTGAATTTAGGCAGATCATGAGAGGAAGGGCAGGAAGGGCTGCATCAGTGCTTAGTTCTTGTCACCCTTTCTTACATTCCCAGGGAAATGCTGATCACCACTTTGGAGTCAGGAAGCAATTTTTCTCCAGGCCAGTTTGGCTGAGGATCCTGGAGGGTTGTCGTCCCCCCCCCCTTTTCTGGGCATGAAGCAGTGGTCACAGGGGGTGTGGGGGGGAGGTATTTGTTAATTTTGTGCATTGTGCAGGGGGATAGGACTAGATGACCCTGGAGGTCCCTGCCAACTCTATGATTCTGTGATTCTATGAAAAAGAATGCCTTTCCAGCTGACACCACCAGAGGAAGAAGCAGAAGCTGGCATCTTTCCATTGTACCTGTGCTGAGCCTTCCCTTAAGTTTATATTTTAATTAGGATTTGTGATAATATTTGATTGCAGGAAACAGGTCTGGGAGCCATTTTTGGTTGAAAAGCCAGACACAAATAAATGAACACTGGAATATAAATCATGTCCTAGTTACAGTTCACTTATAAGTGGAACCAGGACTTGCAGAGGGAAGTGGAAGAGTTTAAGGGAAGTGCAAAATGTTCTTGCAGTTTCTCCTTTAGTGGTGTTGGGAAAACCCCAGAGTCAGTTTGAAGAAAATCTATTTAAAACAACAATTTTCAAGACAGCCTGCACCCAGAAGTTTCATTAACACTGCTCTTTAAAAAAAAAAATCCATAATATTTTTAGCAGGGGTCTTTTCCTAGAAAAAGAGCTGCAGGTGCTCATTAACATACGGTATGCTAATGAGCTACTAGGCTATTAGCATAATAGCTCATTAGCATATGCAACGCCACCTGACATCACCAGAAGTGATGTCAGAAGGGGAAGCAAAAGGGGGGGAAGGCATATTCAAAAGCCTCCCCTTCCGCAGCCAGTGGGGGGGGGGAAAGGAAGGAAAGAGGGGATAAAAAGAGAGAAGGAAAGAGGGAACGAAAGAGAAGGAAAGAAGAAGGGAAAGAAAGAGAGAGAAGGGAAGAAGGAGGAAAAGAGGGAAAGGAGGGAAAAAGAGAAGAGAAGATGGTGGGAAAGAAAGAAAGAAAGAGAGAAGGGAAGAAGGAGAGAAAGAGGAAAAGAAGAGAAGGAAAGAAAGACAGGAAGAAAAGAGAGGAAGGAAGGAAGGAAAAGAAAGAAAGAAAAGGAGGGAAAGGAAAGGAAAGGAGGGAAAGAAAGAGGGCAAAGAGATGGGGGGAAGGGGGAGGCTCTCCCACTCCCCTCACTCCCCCAATAAAGCCTCCGCCACCCTCCGCAGATCCCTCACTTACACCAGGAGGTGGCGAGGGGCCCCTCTTCTGCCTTCCCAGGGCCGCAGCGCTCCGCCACTGGCCCAGGGAGGCGGCAGGGGGGCCTCTTCTGCCCTCCCAGGGCCACAGCGCTCCGCCACTGGCCTGGGGAGGCAGCAGGTGGCCGCAGCACGGGGAGCTGGGGGCGGGGCTTGTGCCACTGCCTCTGGCGCCTGGGCTCCCGGAGCAGTGCTCCGGCACACTCCAGCCCCCAAAACCCCCTGATTTTTAGTAAAGTACACCATGGACCCAAGGCATATTTGAGTGAAAATCAGCTCAAAAAGCAATGTTTCCCAAATTGTGGGAGAATTAACAATTTTTCAGAAAGCTACGTTCACTGAAGTTTAAAACTTCCTAACATGAAGCTTTATGAAAAGTTCACCAGAGAACAATACTGTTGTGAAATTTAGGAAGGAAATTTATGAAACAGCAGACAGAAATTATTTACATAAGGTTACACCAAATGAGAAGGGAGCACTCGACTATGCGACTGAACAACAACAACAACAACACATCTAAAGTAATGCAAGCAGAGCTCTGCTCATGGAACAGGAATTTTCCTGCTCTGCCCTACATTTCAGTCCTCCTTACTCCTTGAAGTGCTGGCCTTCCACCCTGTTAAAGGACCCAGATACAGAGAACAGCACTGGTGTAATGTTGGTATCTGCAGTGAGAAGAAAGACTTGGCAAAGATGCCCCCTGTCAAGAGAGAAAGCCACCTTAGAGGGAAATTTCAGCTAAACTTTCATTTCACTGTATTCTGACTTCTCTGCAGAGGTCAGCTACCTCTTCCCCAACTATTGCTAGCCAATTCCTGTTACTGTAAAGGAAACAAGAAACAAGGTGTGAACGATAGGCAAATAAGTATGAACCAAAATGACAAGAGGATATAGAAACAGCTAAGTAAAGGAAGTGCAAAATAGATATCTTCTGCTGTTGGAATATTAAATATCCTTTTTAATTATTTTATCTGATTTCTAACGATATTTTGTGGTTTACATTTTAATTAGTCAAAGTGGTCAGATAAATTTTAAAAACTTCTGTACTTTAAAAAAAAGACTTTCAGGCTTTTGAGTGTTCTGGATACAGCTGTCATCAAGTACAGACAGAATCACATGTTGCTGTGACAGAACAGATGCTTTCTAGAAAATGAAACAAGGGCAGAGTTCCTTACACTGCTAAGAACATTTTCCCTGTTGTCTCTTATAGGTTCTAATTATGAGATCTGGAAGGCTATCTATTGCTTCGACAGATCAACCTACCTAGATCTCCTAATTAGACGTTTTTCTTATGTAAATGGGCTAGTTTGGTGTAGTGCTTAAGTGTGTGGACTCTAATCTGGAGGAACCAGGTTTGATTCCCCACTCCTCCACATGCAGCTGCTGGATGACCTTGGGCAAGCCATAGTTCTGCCAGAGGTGCTCTTGAAAAGAGCAGTTTCTGTCAGAGCTCTCTCAGCCCCACCTACTTCACAGGGTGTCTGTTGTGGGGAGGGGAAGGGAAAGGAGTTTGTAAGCCGCTCTGAGACTCCAAGTGAAGGGCGGGGTATAAGTCATTGTTTCTCCAAGCTAAAGAGCCCCGAGCGCTTTAACCTTTCTTCATAGGGAAAGTGTTCCAACCCTTTTATCATTCTAGTTACCCTTTTCTGTGCTTTTCCCAATGCTATAATATCCTTTCTGAGGTGTGGTGACCAATTCTGCACACAGTATTCCAAATGAGGTCGCACCATCTATTTGTACAGGGACATTATGATACTGGCTGATTTGTTTTCAATTCTCTTCCTAATAATCCGCAGCATAGTGTTGGCTTTTTTGTTGTTGTTGAGGGGGATACACAGAATACCAAAATACTACATGAACCATTTAATTCCTGTTACTGTTTTTTATTTTGTCAACATTTTTGGCACCAACCAAAAGATTTCTAAATATAGGCAAAAATCTTCTACAGGTTTGCTTAGTCCTGTTAATAGTTGCATGCACAACTGCAACTATCTAGAAAAAAAGAAAGTTGTGCAACTTTAAAATCTTCATGTAATCCATATTCTGTTCTTCTTCTTCATTGATTCTGCCTGACTTGCTTTTAGCACAAACAATTAACCAGCAAAGTAGTACTGGGGTATTCCTTTCACACCCAATCCTGTTACCTGTTTAGGAAAAAGGAACAGGTCATTAGTTTGTTTTCTTCAGAGTAGATGCTGCACGAGTCACTGTAGCCTGCCCCCTGATTTTCTACAGTGGGAGAGCAGTCACAGGCTTGAACCTCCACTGTGTTGTGTGAAATGATTCCGTCACTCCCTGGCCTTTGTGTCAGGCGATCCCAAATGGTTGGTGATTGAGAGAAAAGGAAAGGTAGGTAGAAAATGTATTGTATTTGGCCACAGGCCTTCACAATCTGAAATCATTTATAATAAAATGTACTTACAGATATAACAATAAAATACATCAATAAAATATGGCAATATAAAACATGTTATCTAAGATTTAGTCAGCTTTAAAATCTGATAATTTCTAACAAACTAACTAGCAGCAGCTGTATCAGTTGATACCTTCCTAGTTGCTACATTTGCTCTTATTTTCCTGGCAGCTAGAGAAAAAAGTGCCATCCTGTTGGAAACAAAAGGATATGTATCTGACAACATAAAGATTTATCAGAGTCCAAAAGAGGATGGAGACCAGACAATATATTGGCGAGAAATATTTCCCTTGGTTCCGAGTATAAAGGACAATTTGAAAAATAATGTGGCAGGCAGGTCATCAATCGAGGTTCCACAGATGCATATACGCTGATCTACAGGGTGTTTTTTTTAATCGTCCAAGCAGCATCTCAGTTCTCATTGACTGGAAACGTAATGATGAGAATGCTACCCTGAGCTTATAAACTGTAATTTCAGTCAAATAACACACTCTGAGATCATCTTTTTTGATGGTTTTGTACCACGGAGAAAATTTTGATTTACTGATTAAAAAATTGCCTATTAGGGCATCTTCTTTATAAATCCATTTCCTTAGATCGACATTGCTTACCGAGGACTGCAATAATTCATCTGGAATAGTATATTCAGATGCAACATTATTAAGGAAAGCCTGCTGGGTTTTGTCCATGTTTTGCATCAATTGATAGCTCAAACTGCTGAAGGAACCAGGGTTTATTGGGAAAACATGACACTGAATGACACTGATGGCGCTACTTGCATACACAACATTCCAGTGGCAGTGCTGCCTGATGCTGCCAGGCAAAATGTGTGCCTGACCCTTCTCTGCTGCTCTACAGGGAGAAGGATTCAAACTGTGAAGATGCCTGCTTCCAGGATCACATCTTGCTCCTCTGCTGCTGCCTGATGCTGCATCTCGGACTCCCCACCCCCACTGCTTTTATATTCTGCTTGATCCCCAGAGCATCTTATACTCCTTCTATCAGGGATTCCCAAATTCTTGTGAAATCCCTCTTGTGAGACTTTAGGTAAAGGTAAAGGTTCCCCTGCTCGAAAGCCAGTCGAATCCGACTCTAGGGTTGCGGTGCTCATCTCCGTTTCAAAGCCGAAGAGCCAGCGCAGTCCGAAGACGTTTCCGTGGTCATGTGGCCGGCATGACTAAACACCAAGGCGCACGGAACGCTGTTACCTTCCCACCGAAGTGGACCCTATTTATCTACTTGCAATTTCTTGCTTTCGAACTGCTAAGTTGGCAGGAGCTCACTCCATCATGCGGCACCCGGGTCTCGAACTGCTGAACTACTGACCTTCCACAGCCTGCAGTTCAGCGTCTTAACCACTTGAGCCACCGCAGCTCCTGTAATTCACTTTAGGACTTTAGGAACACAGTAAAACAGGTTTGGGGAGGATTGGAGGAATTATGGGAGGGGACTAGGGGGTGCATGAAAGCACCTCAGTGCTGTCGGGGGATTGGAAGCGGGGGGGGGGGATCAAAATAGCATTCAATCTGGGGCAAACAACCAGTGTGGAAAATGCCTTTTCTCGCCTCACCTTGCCCTACAAAACAAAACATAGCCCAGTGCAAGAAGAGTCTGACTCCTTTGCAGTGAACTATTGAGAAAATTAGAGGGGGGGGGGAATTCAAGTAGCACAGGGTTCACATTTTGCTACCTTTAACCCTAGGCCAGAAGACTTAATTTTTTTTTATACCCATCCAATGGTTCAATCCATTTTGTGAGGGAAACAATATCTGTTTACCTTGAAAATCTCCCCAGCCTGAGGTTCCTTTGCTAAGGCTGCGCTGTTCAGTCCATCATAGGCAGAAGTGATGTACATTTCAGAATAGTCTTTCCCTCCAAAGCAGCAAGATGTGATCCTGGAAACAGGCATCTTCACAGTTTGAATTCTTCTCCCTGTAGACCAATAAAGAAAGGTTAGACAGAGACATTTTGCCTGAATAACTTGTAACAAATAATGATTGATCGAGATATATATTGGTAATAGCACAGTATGGGTCAGGGTATAACTGAGATTACAACCAAAGTATCTCCTACCTAAAGCTAATTTTTCTTGTGACTTTCTCATTATTTTGGCATGGAAAAAGAGCTAAGCCTTTAACATAACATCCTGCACTGACGACTGTTGTTGAATATGGTTGTTCATTTAACACTCTCTCTTCTTAGCAACCAAAATGAATTTGCTTATTGATTCTAGCTTCAAAAGAGAGCCGGTGAATTGATGGAAAACTGGCCATCACCGTGACAGATATCAAATTAGTTAAATAAAACTGCTCCTGGATTATTTTAGACAGGAGTGTTACTTCTCCTATACAGCTCGATTGAAGTCCTGTAGCACCTCAGAGACCAACAAAGTTTTCAGGATATGAGCTTTCAAGACCCAAAGCTCCCTTTTGTCAGATATCTTTTGTCTTTAGGCATAATATCCAGTCATTTGCATTTGGTAAGAAAGATGATAACAGTTTGTACCTGTGCAAGTCTCTTCATGAGGCTGATAAATTTCCCATACATTTTACTAGGGGAAAGGGTCCTGTTTGCAGACTGGACTTTTAACTGTGTCCTGTTGATTTTGGTTGGTTGGTAGCCTTTTTCAGACATTACATGTGAGGGTATACCAGCTGGGTGAACTGAGAGCATTTTGCGGCCTATGATCTTCCTGATATGCTGGGGTTACCAGATACCCTCTTTTTTAGAGGACACGTCCTCTTTTATTGGTTTCCATCTTCTTTTGGGCTCTTTTTAAAAACTGATGAAAATGTCCTCTTTTTTGGGTTGAAAGGTTAGAAATATTCCTAGTTATTAGCAATTATCACATCTTAATTATCACAGCTGGTAGAATGAGCTCCCAGAAGACCTCAGGGCCCTGTGGGACCTTTTGCAGTTCTACAGGGCCTACAAGATGGAGCTCTTTCACCAGGCCTTTAGTTAAGGAGCCACACCTCACACACGAAGGCCCTGTGCCCAATACCACCACCAACAGCCTGAGCTTTGCCGATTCTAACATCAAGTACTGACTACATTTACTAAAATGTTGGTGCTGCTACTCTGCTTTCGCCATCACCATTTAAATTGTTTACTAGCACCTTAGGTTGTGTTTTTAAGCCTTTATCTATATCGATTTAGCGATGGCATTTTATATATGCTGCTCTGAGTCTGCTTCGATGGGGAGGGCGGGGTATAAATCAAATAAAAATAAAAAATAAAATAGTAGGGGTATTTAAAACGAAATTTGTCATTGTGATAACTTCTTTTAAGTAGTTAGTTGGGAAATATGTCCCTTTTTTTTGCTTTTCAAAATATGGTAACTCTATGATATGCACAGGCACCATTTTGTTTGAATAGGGCACCAAGTATATTTAAGCTGAAAATTCATATGGTGCTCTATTCTGATTAAATGGAAACCACATGTATTGGGAGGACCACAGGTGGCATACTACCCTAGCACATAAAGTTCAATTCCCCCAGACATAACATCCAAAAAAGGTTGGTGTGAAGCTTCAAGTCGTACACATTTAACAAAGTCAATATAAACAGCACACACACGGCTGCTTTGAGCTGACAGCATGGCACATAACAGCCCTTCTTTCTGATAAACAAACCTTGATAGCTCAGGGTCAGATTATGTTGTTATAGCATAAATGCTAAACCAGAATGTGTTAGGGAAACAAACATGCTTTGAAAACCACACACTGGTATAAAAGGTGTATGGGTACTGTGTGAGCACCATAGGGTTGCCAGCCTCCAGGTGGCACCTGGAGATCTTCTGCTATTACAGCTGATCTCCAGATGACAGAGATCCGTTCCCCTGGAGAAAATGGCTGCTCTGGAGGCAAGGCCGCTATGGCATTATACCCTGCTGAGGTCGGTTCCCTCCCCAAACCCACCCTCCCCAGCCTCCACCCCCGAAACTTCCAGGTATTTCCCAATCCAGAGCTGGAAATCCTAGAGCACTGGCAGCTTGTGATTCACAAGGGTTAACTGCTGTATGCCACAAGGGGGGAGGAGTGTTTCTGGTAATGTGTAAACTGGAATAGACCTAGGCTTGCCAAGTCCCCCCGGGGGGCAGGGAAACCCCCACCCCAGAGGCCCGTTCCCTGCCGCCGGCGGATCGGGCCCCGGGGGGGACTCCACCCCGATGTGCACGTCACCCGGAAGTGACGCGGGCACGCTGGGGGCGGGGCCACAGTTATCCGAGGGAAAACTCTATGGTTTTCCCTCAGATGGTCGTGGCCCCTCCCCCAGCGTGCCCGGTGTGGTCGCGTCACTTCCGGGTGACGGGGTTGCGGTGCGCGCACGTGCTCCAGGAACAAGCCGGGAGCCCCCCGCTCCAGCAGCAGGTAAGACTTGGCAACCCTAAATAGACCCACTCTAGGAAAAGGTGGATTGACTATCCAGGAGTGCATTCAAAAGCTACTGTGGGCTCATCAACGGACAAGTATTTCAAGACATTTCATGAACATTTTAAAATATGTCCTGAATAAATGCAAAGGCCACATCCAATGAAAATGCAGTCTGTAAACACTCCCCACATTTGGTTCAGATAAATACAGACTTCTCATTAATCTTTTACCTGTCTCAGGGTCAATACGGATCACTCGTCCACCATCAATGCAGGCCACCCAAAGTTTCCCTTCCACATCAATACACATCCCATCAGGCATTGCTTCCTCCTTTTCCATCTTGTACACTGTTCTGCAGTCACCTGCAGAAGGAATAACACATTCAGTGTGCTTGGGCTGTGTGACTGAAACATTGCCCCCTTTATCAATTCACTGTATATTTTAAAGAACAAAAACACCTCAGATCAGATCTATTCTCTAAGAATTTAGATACTTTCCCCCTGTACCTTGCCTTCTGAGAGGAATCTGGTCATGAGTTTACAGACTAATTACTGTGAATGTTTATGGCTTGGCCTAAAAGAGGCACTTGAAAAGAGTTATGGCCTTTTTTGGTTGTGGATGTTTCTTCAATCAGACCTAATTGTTAGGAAGTTATTTTCTAATAGGTGGGAGATCTGTAACCGCACAGAGACTACTGGTGGAGGTGGAGGCACACTACTACAGCCCATTTCTATGGTGTCCAGCAAATGCCAGCCCTCAGGGGGCAGCCAGGCAGGGCACACGCCACGCAGTCTTGGTGTGGCTGCTCCTTCCCCTTCCCCCACCCTCTTTTCGCCTCTCTTTCTCTCTTTGTATGAAGCACTTCCTTCCTCCCCATTTATTACTTTATTTATAAAATCTTCATCTGTTATGATGTAATTAAATGGACATTTATTCATTTACCGCTGTGGTTGTGGTTACAATGCTCTGTTTGGTTTAATGTCATCTATCTCTTTTGTATTCATTTATCTTGGTATTATTTATTTGGCAGGGTCCGCCGCCCCCATTTTTTACTGTTTTCTTATTCATTTATTAAAACACTTATATCATCCCACGTTTCCTCTTGTTTAGGACACAATTTAAGGTTTATAGAGACTTGTTTGATACTTAGGGTTTGTGATGTCATTATAATCAGGTTGTTTGTATGTTTTGGCACGTGTTTGACATTTTTGGTTGGTTCCAGGTTTTCACAGCCCTAATCCTATTGCATTGTTTATTGAATGTCTCAGTAGGAAAGGCAGACAGTAAATAACATAAATAAATATTTACCTCTCGACTTCCGGTTTATGGCGACATGCAGGCAGACGCATCTCCCGAAGCCGAGCAAGGCCAGTAGGCCAACAACGAACTGTGAGTCGGGTTGAAGCGAGTATGAAGAATTAAAAAGAAAGCTGCCCCCCTTAAAGAGCGATGCGAAGCGAGCGGGGGAGGGGCCCCTCCCATATGCATGAACAAAAACACGGAATAAAGAGGGGTGGTGGAAAATTTCGTTTGAAACTGCTTTCAGAGACTTACCAGAGCGCAGATAAGCATTTGGGAGAATATCAGAGACTTTAGCAACTTTTTGATAAGTAAACAAATCCTAAAAGATGGTGGGGAAGAAACGGGAGAAAGAAAAACTTTTGAAAGCGAAACTAGTGGGTAGTCCTCGAACGGAGGAGACCACTGAGCTTTCAAGAATGTTGGCAGATTCCTTGTGCCCTCTGCTGGATGAGATGACCAGTATTAAGCAACAACTGCCAGTAATTGGTCAGAGTTTGGCTTCACAGCAGCTACAATTAACTCAATAATTAAAAGCAATGGAGCAAATGGGGGAGAAGGTGAAGGAGAAGGTGAAGAAAAATAATCTGCCTGGGGAAATAGTAGTCAGATTTTCGAAGAGACTAGTGAGAGACTCTATTTTGAAAGCAACTACGGGAACTCCCTTGAAAATTGGGGACAACGACATCAGGATTTTAAAAGATATTCCATTTGACATAAGAAAGAAGAGAAAGAATTATAAAGAACTAATCCTATTTTTACAAACAAAGGGCATCAGTTATAGATGGTTAATCCCAGAATGTGTCATTTTCAAACTACACGATAAAAAAGAAAAGATTGACTCTGTTCTTAAGGCACGTGAATTACTGCAAACACAGCTCGGGGAACCAGCTGAGGACAAGAAGGAAGAAGAAGAAAGCAAATCCGATGGCAAGTTAGGCTCGTGGTCTTCGGACGAGGACTCACCCTCTGAAAAGGGGGGGCTGCCCCCAAAACTGCATATAAATTAAGGATTAGAAAAGAGAAGAATAAATAGTGGCTGAAAGACTCTGATTTGTACCTGAAAACTCTGAAATGATTTTGGGATGCTCAGGGGTTTTCTTTAAGCAGTTAAATGAATAGTTAAAAGATAATTAACCTGGCATAGCCGACTATGTTCATTGTTTTAATAGCTTTTTAAAACTAACATTGAGTTAAGATGATGTATTGATCTCCTACTCTTGGGTTTTTAGTTATTAGTGGGTCTTTTTTCTTTCTCCCTTAGATGTAGTTCCCCTCCCTATATTCTCGGTTGTAGTTTGTAGTCTGCAAAAAATCAATAAAAATTCCCCTCAGGGGGATCCAAAATAAATAAATAAATAAATATTTACCTCTCAATGCTTGGAAAGGGTTTCACCCCTTCTACTAAAAGGAACCCCACAGATGTGTGAGTAGGTATTTAAAAAACCAGCAGGTGGCAGCATTTGGAAAGGACAGGAAAGACTTGCGTGAACAGCTGAAAAGGAGGCTTTTTGGGTTGCAAGATCTCTTTCTCTCTGTCATCTATCTATCTGTTCTGCCAGATGTTGAATCTGCTTCTAGTAGGAGTCCCTTCTTACATCTGCCTGAATATTTGTAAATAAAGCAGATATTGGGCACACAGTGTGTGAATGCTCGCTCATCCAAAGGAAGTTATACCCTGGAGTTTTTCATTGCTTGAAAAAGTGAGGAGTGCATAAGAATGCCATGGAAAATATGGGTCACCTGTCTCTAACAGTGGGGCTCCTACATTACCATGCAACTCCAGTGCTGGAACATTCCTTATTACTGCAAGTACCATGGCTAAGCTGCCCGATTAAACTGGTCTCTCTGTCGTACAGCCCTTGAAAGCACAGGACATCTATCTGGGGGAGGGGGGATGTGGTGACACTGAATGTAGCATCTCATTAGGTAAGTCTTCATGAGTTCAGACTGTATTTTTATATATGGGGGAAATGCAGAACTGTTCGATATATTGTAGCCAGCTTGGAAAGTAAATTTCAAGTTCCTCGGTTTAAAAATATATATATATGGTTGTTTAATTCATAAGAAGAGGCAAAGTAAATGATAAATCTGCCCACTCCAAACTCATTGTTACTACAAGTCCCTTCCCACCCACCCCCGGTTTGGTTAAAAAAAATTGCTTTGTGTCAATAATTAAAGAAAAACATAGTATGCCAGCTGACACATTGTAGAAAGAATAAAGGTTGCACTGAAAATTGCCCTACTGATTTACTATGGATTATTCATTGACCGTGCAAATCCTAAACCCTTCTAAATCTAGGATTGCCAGTTCAGGGTTGGAGAGCTGAGCCTGGAGAGGGTGGAATTTGGGGACAGGAGGGACCTTAGTGGGCTATAATGCAGTAGAATGCCTCGGAGTCCACCCTCCAAAGCTCTGTAGACTGCAGACTCTGTTGATCCGTTTAATGATGCTAGCTCTGGGTTTGGAAATACCTAGAGATTTGGAGGTGGAGCCTGAAGAGGGCAAGGTTTGGGGAGGGGAGGGACCTCAGCAGGGTAAAACGCCATTCAGGCAACCCTCCAAAGCAGCCATTCTATCCAGGCCCCACCAGGAGGTTGGCAAGCCTATCTCAGTGGAATTAGAAGGGGGTATCCCTGTTTAGGATTGCACCGGTAGTCACTGTAATATGAAGAAAGAACGGGTACCGATTCGTCCTGTGCACTCGTCGTAGCTGTAAGCATGCACAGCATAAGCCAGGCTATCGATGTGGAAGAAAGTTCTGTGATCTAGTGACCAGTCCAGACCATTTGAGATATCCACGTGATCTAACTGCTTCACAACACTGCAGTCAGGGAAAAGAGTGTAAAGAGCCCCTTGGTGCCTTGCTCTCACACCAGGAGCAGTCTCTTCTGCCATGGTACCTAGAGAACGAGAAGCAGAAGCAGATAAGAGGCCCTGAAGTGCTGAACAAAGAATGTAACCATGGCCAGAGGTCATTTCGGGGGGGAATTATAAAGAACTAATCCTATTTTTACAAACAAATGGCATCAGTTATAGATGCCGGGGAGGAACGCGGGGGAACACAGTTCCCCCGAGTGAGGGGCGGGGGGCGGGGCACATGATGAAGCCCCGCCCCCTGCTTCTGGCCGCCCTGCTTCCAGCCCTCATTCAGCCAGGAGGAGGCAGGAGAAGAGGGAGGGTAAGTTGCTTCCTCCCCGCCTCTCCCCACCCCTGCCTGCCTGGGGACAGGGAGGGCCTTGGCGGGGCTTCCTCGCACTTCCGCCGGCCTTGCAGGTCCACCGCCGGGCCCCTGATGTCAGGGTGTGTGGCATATGCTAATGAGTTATGCTAATGAGTTCCCCTAGCTCTTTTTCTACGAAATGACCCCTGACCATGGCCATTGCTCTCTGTCATGCTTGCTGAGTTTCCCTAGGGGCCTTTAATAAGGAACTTCGTTAAAAGCCTTTTGACTAACCAAGTATGTATTAGTTGTTGTGGATCTTCCGGGCTGTATGGCCATGGTCTTGGCATTGTAGAACCTGACGTTTTGCCAGCAGCTGTGGCTGGCATCCGCAGAGGTATAATACAGAAAGATGGAGTACTCTGTGTCAAGGTGAGAAGAAAAATGGTAGGCAGGTAATTTATATCTACTCAGGAAGGTGGGGTAGGGCTGAGTCATTATCTTGTAGAAGTTCCCCAGGCTTTGAACATGTTAATGGAGGAGCTTTCCTAAGGAGGTCAGGTCCTACAATGCAATGCCAAGACCACAGCCATACAGCCCAGAAAATCTACAACAATTAATGAACTCCAGTCATGAAAGCCTTCGACAACCTATCAAGTATGTATTGCCTACCAGATTGTTCCTGTTAACATGCCTGCAGAACTCAAAGGACTCTAAAAAATCAGTGAAGAAAAACCCATACTGATTCTTCTTCGCCAAGGCTTCTTCTGCTGTATAAATTGGATATTACTGCCCATGTTTGGTGTAGTGGTTAAGAGCACGGACTCTAATCTGGGAGAACCAGGTTTGATTCCCCACTCTTCCATATGCAGCTGCTGGTGTGACCTTGGGCCAGTCATAAGTTCTTTCAGAGCTGTTCTCTCAAGGACCGTTCTCAAGAGAGCTCTCTCTGCCCCACCTGCCTCACAGGGTGTCTGTTGTGGGGAGAGGAAGGGAAAGGAGATTGTAAAATGCTCTGCAACTCCTTCGGGTAGTGAAGGGCGGGGTATAAATCCAATCTCTTCTTCTTCGTGTTACAAACATAGCATAACATTCCAGAATAAAAAAGAGCAAGAGTTCAGTAGTACCTTAAAGACTAACAAAATTTGTGACAGGGGGTGAGCTTTCTTGAGTCACTGCTCAGTTCCACAATACTGTTTAGAAATTATTTCCCCCCCCCTCCACCAGTTTATTATGGACAGAAGTTAGGACAAGAGATTTGACATTGCATAGATCTCCCACCCTGTTCCTCTTGCTGATCTTTTCTTTTTAAATTGTGTAACAGTAACTACCTTCCAATCCTATTGTAAAGAGGCTAATTAAAGTGATGCATTACTTATTAAAAGTTTAGCAATTTCATATTTATAATCATTACAAAACTTCTGGAGAACGCTATCTGGCTGCAGTGATATTTGGTGGTTGTTTTTTTCTTTTTACTTTTCAGTAAGAAAACCTTTTCATCCTCATTAGTAGTTAACCATTTCCTATAGTGCTTATTTTAAGGCACTTACTGTGTAGTTATCTGAAGAACAGAGAAAGAGAAAAATGTGCTCTGTTTATATCTGGGTGTGGATATTTATTAGAGTCTGTTCTTATCAAAGTCTCCTTTAGTACACTAAATTTTTCAGAAATCATATAATAAATCATTTAATCATATAATAATCTAGAGATGAAAAATTAAGATTATTGTTTCATTATTGATAGCCTAGTTATTACATCTGAACTTATTATGTCTGAATAATCCTCAAGAGGGACTATATATAAACAGTATTTCACCTTATCCAAACTACAGAACATCCCAAACTTGTTGCTGATATTCTTTGCATAAACAAGATTGTTTTGTGCTGCCAATAATAATTTGAAACATATTTTCATAGTAGGAATCAGAGGCTGATACTATGTATGTATTGCATTCTACTACACAGCAATCATTTTATTAAACCCTTTAACGCTAACCACAAGTTTTGCTTGTAAAAACAGATTATGCACATTATTGGATACTATAGTTTCATCAGTTCCATTGAATTATGTAGATTCATTCCCCCATGGGAAACTCATTAGGAACAGGCAAATTGAAGACACGTATTTATATTACCTGCAAAAAAATTCCCTTGTGGATCCACTTTTCCATCATTAAATCGGTTGTTCAGTTTATCTAATTCCTGCTCAGAAATAGTAACAACTTTCCGATTTTTCCAGTTCAAAAAGGCAAAGCTGGTTCCTAGAGCAATCACATAGCCTCCACTCTTGCGAAGGGCCACTGAGCCAACACGAGCATCTGCGGGTAGGAAAGAAATTGGTGTGGTTCAAATTCAGGGGAAGCCAGGACAATTTGCACTATGTACCATGTGGCCAAGGGCTTACATTTAGAAGCAAAGTCTATTTTTCTGATTCCTTTACTAATGGAGAGGGGCTGTGACTCAGAGCATCTGCTTGGCATACAGAAGGTCCCAGACTCATTCTCTGACATCTCCAGCTGAAAGGATCTGGCAGTAGGTGATGTGAAAGGCCTCTGCCTGAGACCCTGGAGAGATGCTGCCAGTCTGAGTAGACAATACTGACTTTGATGGACCAAGGGTTTGATTCAGTATAAAGCAGCTTCATGGGTTCAGTGCTTTTTTTTTGGGGGGGGGGTCACTATCCACACAGCAGGAAGACTAATGAGGCTGGCAGGCAGCTGCTGCTGCCTTACAAAACAAGTTTGGATGGGTGTGTCTGTATTGTCATAGTCAGAACTGCAGACTTACAGCTTTAAAGGGCTCAAGATCCATGTACTATCATTTCCCGAGGGGAGAAGGCAGCCAATCCTTCGGGAGGCTTTCTTCTTCAAAAGAAGGCCAGTAGCTGTAACTCTACAAGAGATGTGCCCTATTCTTTGACAGTGATACAGTACCAACAAATACATGCAATGTCAATTAATAATATGGTTGAGATTACCATGCCCTGGGAGAACTCCAAATAAACCCCATCCAAGAAAGATAAAGGTTGACGTTTGCAGACTGAATGTGAACTGGCAAATGCACGTTCCAGGAATACAACAATGAGAAAGAATACACACAAGTGAAACAGCCATTACAGATCAAATGCTTCATGAAGGGCTCTAATCTACAGGGTCCAGGCCCCAGTTCAAAATATATTCCTATTGTGACCAAAGCACATCACGCTACCCAGCTATATGTCACAGCTGATCACCAGAGAGCACTTCCACACTGCTAGTACCATGACAATGAAGAGGCTAGCAAGTACTCAGCACCAGCAGTTTGCAAGTACATGGGACGAAGAGGAAGGAAGACAAAAGCAGACATAGGGAGATATAGAGATATATATTGTTGCCAGCTCCAGGTTGGGAAATACTTGGAGATTTGGGGGATGGAGCCTGAGGAGGCCGGGGTTTGTGGAGGGGAGGGCCTTCTGTGGGGTATAATGCCATAGAGTCCAGCTTCCCAAAGCAGACATTTTCTCCAGGTGAACGGACCTCTGTTGCCTGGAGTAATCCCAGGAGTTCTCCAGACACCACCTGGAGGTTGGCAACCCTAAGGAAAGCATGGTGGCTTCCTGTACTTACTGATGTTTAACAAATTGTGGAAGTGCAACAGATGTGGTCTTTTTACATTACCACCTAATTCCCTGGACCGAGAGGCTCTGGGGCAGTTGTAACAATGTTCCACCTTGAACTGCCTAAAGTTTCTGAACCAGCAAGCCAGTGAGCCCAATAGCATCCTGCACTATAAAGATTACCATATGACAGGAAACTAGACAGTGAGGACTGATGTGGCGCATTATGTTCCATGTGTGACGGAAGCAGATACATGGAAACTATTTCCCACACTCTCTGCATTATTAAAGTAACTTGATGACTCTGTAAAGCAATGTAATATAAACCGGATCAGCCCTGGTTAGTACTTGTATGGGAGACCACCATGGAAATCCAGGATCACTAGACAGAGGAAGGCAATGGCAAACCACCTCTGTTAGTCTCTTGCCCTGAAACCTTAAGGGGTCACTGTAAGTCGCTGTGATTTGACAACACTTTACACACACACTGTGAGGCAAAGCACCCCTGGTCTCCCCCTCAAGGGGGAGGAGTAATAGTGGGCCTGGTCCATCTTGCAGGTGTTATTAATTGGTATCCTGGCCATGATTGGCATGATTAGCTGTAGCCTGTTGAAGAGAGGGAGGAGAATCAGGGGGGATGAGGTAATTTTTCTAGAGGTTTCTCCTAAGAATGTGTTCTGATTGGATGTCATCATCACCTGAGGTTGCTGGACCAAAAACTATAATTGATAGGGTTGCCAGGTCTTACCTGGCTGCTGGTGGGGGGGCTCCAGCCTGGATTCCTGGAGCTTCTGGCATGCGTGCAAAGCGCACACACTGTAATGACATCACCTGGAAGTGATGTCATTGCGCTGGGCACATCATGCTCTAGCATTTGGCCAAATTCTCTAGCATTTCGCCAAATGCCAGAGCGTCCCCTCTGCGACATGCCTAGAGTGAAGACATTACCACTGGGTGATGTCATCGCACTGGGCATGTCAGGTGCAACGGGGTTCTTTGGGGGCAGGGCTCTCCCAGACGGATTGGGGCTCCTGAAAGTGGGGGAAAACCCCACCTCCATCAGGGGAATGGCAACCCTAATAATTGAACTAAGGCCCAAAATAAGAGAGACTAGTTCAGTTCCTGTTGGGCTAGAGGCCTGAACAATGACCTGCTTGAATTGCAATTGCTAGCATTGTACAGAACACTTGAGCTTTGGCCTCTGATTCTGGAATGTAAGGTTTGTGCCGTCTAATGCAAATCCAAAGAGTGTGAGACAGTTGAGCTCATTTTCTTATTTGCTGGCTGTGTGGTTTTGGAGTAATGTGCTGGCTATAGAATAAACTTTCTTAATACAAATTTATAAATCTTTTAAAAAAATCTTTATACATCTTTTTTTTAAAATAAACAACGCTTTGGTTACTTATGTGCAACTGGCCTGGGAACCCACAGGGTTCAGCCTTGGACTGCTTGACACACACCAATGCACACATACAACGTATGCCTGCCTTGCCACAAATAGCTCTGTGTAAAAATCAAAGATTTATTACTTCCACGACTTAGATCATTATGTGCCTTGTCATTATTTTAGAGAAACTGTAATTATAATTGACAACAAGTAATTTATCCAATTCCAAAAACAGCTACAAGTACTGTTAGAAAAAGCAAGTTTCTTACCCACAGACACACACTGAATTTCATTGGTGACTGAGTTCCAGCGGCAAACTTTCTGCGAATTGATATCCACATATACAAGAGAATTCTCCCTTTCCTCCCATACTGGGCACTCTCCCATCCTGTTCTTTTCCTTCACTATAGACTCAATCTTAATGGAACACATTGTCTACGAGACAGAAAACTGTCAGCATGATACAAAATTCCATTTCAACTGAAAACATTACCAATATTCACTGGTGAAGTGGCCTAGAATGAAGAGGCAGGAATATATTTAAAGCAGAAAAGAGTAAAACATATTTCTATGATAGTCACTATCTACGAGTATGAAAGGATATTTTCCTTCATATATGCCAATTTAAATACATCTTACAGGACAGATTCAGGTAATAACTCTAGGTCAGAGCCATATAGAAGAGGCAGAGATAATTGTTTAAAAAATGCTTGAAATGGTCAGGGCCGGCTCGCTCACTAGGCGAACTAGGTGTTCGCCTATAACGCGCCGGCCCTTAGGGGGTGCCAAACTGCACCCACCCCTCCCACCAAAAGCCCCCCAACCGCCAAAAGCCCTGCATTTCCGCAGCCGGGGAAGCTCTTTTCGGGGGGGGGGGGGGGGGGGGGGGGGGGCAGAAGGGATCCTCGCCTAGGGTGCAAAATAAGCTGGGGCCAGCCCTGGAAATGGTTATTAGAGTGATACAGCTCCTGGTTCTCATAATTCTCAGTGGCACCAGCTGAGGTAAAAAGTCCTGTCTTAAGTCCTTAGGCTATTGCTGCTTTGCCTCAGTGACAATGGGGGATACCCCCTCAGCCCAAGTGCATTACCAATTATCAGGGTCAGACAGCACAAGGGATGGTACCAAAAGTTCCTGGCTTTCAAAGCATCATGTTTAAACAATTCTTCTTCCACAGAAATGGATCGGTTCTCACTTTGAAGGCATAGACAGAGTTGCTGTTGGATGACCACTGAGGTAAGGGCCCTCTCCCCTGACACTGGAGCCACTAGCAATGGGTGTAAAAGGCCTGTTCACCTCCCTCCCAACTGCTTCAGACAACAGTCCCTATAATTTCTCCCAAAGAACTTAATGATCATGGGGGAAAGTAATGATTTGATGTGCAGCTCGTTCCACCCCTGCGGTCAGGGTGCTATCGAATCTGTTTCCCATTTTTTAAAAATTGTCCATTTTATACTAAGATTCAAGAAAAATTTCTGGACACCCTTCTTTTTCACATGGTGTGGTCTTCCTGAGAGTGAGTGTCAAGCTCCAGTTGCTACTCTCTGGGCAAAACGCTTCTATAACATTTAATGTTGCTTGTTTTCTTCAATCTGTAATTCAAACCAGGGAAGCTATTAACTGATCAGTTCTTTTTTGTTGGCTGTTCGACAGCCATACTTTTGATGTATTCCTAAATTTTAATGTAATCTTATCTCTTACATGCCAATAAAAGTTGTCTGTCTGTCACACTAATTTAAAAATCATGGGACATGGTAGATCACAATCAAGCAGTCAGTTCCGGCTATTTTGCCAAAACTGGGACTTAACCATTCACCAAGGATACTAAACTTACCATGTATGTAAAATTAAAAAGTCTCAACAAACAACTCAGAAAAGATTTCTCACCGACTAATCCAGACAGAGACAGTACTGTGTTGTATAAAAGTATATAAGAGAATGAATAAGGGATTCTTCAGTCAGCAGGATTAATTAAGATAATAGGTGGTTTCAGAAACACAGATGGGAGCTGATTCGTGGTGTAACTTTTTGTTTCATAGCTCCTTTTACAAGTGCACCATGTGATCTAATCCAGTCTGAGACCAGTTCCCAGCCTTCTATAATGATTAAAAGTGTAAAGTTTTCCCCTTCTCAGTAAAAAAAACCATAAACTCATACTCACCTGTACTGCAGACTGAAATCACAATAAAAAGATCCCTCCACGGTGCATCCACTGTTCCTTCTAAGTATGTACTTTATTTTGTTGAATTCTTGACTAGATTGTCTGAACTTTCCTTTTCCTTTCTGTTGTAAAATAGGAAATTGTGAAATGTAAAAGCTATTTGAGTCAACATTGCAAAATGTGCACATTCCTTTTTTGCAACTTATGCACATCAACAACTGTGCTGGATCAGACCAATGGTCTTTCTTGTCCATCATTCTATGTTTCCCACAGTGGCTAACCAGATGCCACCAGAAGGTCTACGCATTGCTCCCCTGTTGTTGCCCCTGCTCTGGTATTCAGATGGTTTCTGTCTCTGAATATGGAGTCTGCATTTAGTTATTGTGGCTAATAACCATTGATGGACCTTGTAATGTTTCCTGCTCCAGCATCTGTCAGATTACTTTCTCCTGACTCGTGCATGACCCCAGAAAGCAGACAAGCGAGGCATAGTCATTCATAGAAGCCACAAGTGAGGCATAACCACTTAACAGCTACTTGCTTTCCTTCCTTGTTTTTCTCTTTCCCACCCACCCATTAGCCTTTCATCTGCACCCCATCTTCAGTAATATTTTTATTTCATTTGCACTCCATCTTTCTCCACAATGGGAACCCACAGGAGCTTACATCATTCTCCATATTATCCTCACAACAACACTTTGAGGTCGGTTAGGCTGAAAGTGGGTGACTAGCCCAATGTGACCTTCCATGGCAGAGTGGGAATTCAAACCTAGGTCTCCCATATCTTAGTCTGAATCTCTAACCACTACACAACACTGGCTTTCAGGCAGTGTCTGCTGTTGAACAGTAGTAAGCAACCAGGCCTCTGAAAGTCATGAAAGTTAGGTGGTAGCAAGTTAGCTGGTGGTTGCTGTTGGGCCTGGCCCCAATGAAAACCCCCTCAAAGGCCAAAAAAGCCCTCAAAAAGGGCCCTGTCCCTTCCTCCTGCCTTTTACTGATAGAAACCAAGCCTTGAAGGCTAGCAATACTGTTTTTGTGGTTGCCTAGCAATGGCCACTGGGAACATCCATTTCTTAAAACCACAGGCTGTCATGTCTGTTCATGGCTCCAGTGTCCAGATTTAAGTAAACTACAGGTTTGGCTACATTGAGAATTAGCTATATTGATAATGAAAGCTCCTTCAGCTTACTTTATAAACATTATTATTTAAATCAATGCAGTGAACTAAGATGACTTATTGTATTCCTTTTGTTATTGGTATTTACAGAATACTATACTGGTAGGTTTTTTTGGGCATGTGTTTTTTTTTAAAAGTTAGCCTGCACTGAGCCAGATAGCCTAGGCCAGCCTGATCTCATCAGATCTTGGAAGCTAAGCAGGGTCAGCCCTGGCCAGTATTTGGATGGGAGACCTCCAAGGAATAACCAGGAGTGTGATGTGGAGGCAGGCAATGGCAAACCCCCTCTGAATGTCTCTTGCCTTGAAATTCCTAGGGGTTGCCATAAGTAAGTGTGACTTTATGGCACTTTCCTCTACTACCACCAAGGCTAGCTGAAATGTTAGTTTGGTGTAGTGGTTAAGAGTGGCGGACTCTAATCTGGGAGAACTGCATTGTATTCCCTACTTCTCCACATGCAGTCAGCTGGGTGACCTTGAGTCAGTAACAGTTCTCTCAGAGCTGTCTCTCAATAGCAGTTCTCTCAGAGCTCTCTCAGCCCCACCTACCTCACAGTGTGCCTGTTGTGGGTAGAGGAAGGGAAGGGGATTGTAAGCACAGTGTAATGTATTGGAATACTTACATGAATCGCCTCATTGAACTTCAATGTTAAGCTTGAAGCCAAGCTAAGGCTTCTCCGGACGGACTTCCTATTGGTCGCTCTGTAACAGCGACCAATCAGAACTGCACCTATTCCCTGCGAGGGAAAGACTCTTATTGGTCCTTATCCCAACACCCTCATTGGTTACTTTTGTAAATAGGCGTGGCTATGTTAGCCCGGGAATGTTTAAAAGGAGCCTAGTTCCCAATGTTAAGTTGTTCTGGTTATGAATGCGTTGAGTGCTTGTTTGCTACTTCAATAAAGCTGAATCACTTTGCTGAAATCACGTTCCAAATCTTTGTTAGCTGCGATCTAACAATTGACGACGAGGATGGGATGTTAGAGCGGGTAGGCAGCCCTGCTTAACAACCCTACGACGGAAGAAAGCGAGCAAAGCACTGTGGCCGATCCAGCCGAGGCAGCACCAGCACCGGTGAACGAGCCTGCGAGGATGGCCAATAACCAGAAGTTCGAGGCATTCGAACCCACATCAGAGGATTGGGACGCGTACCTTGCCAGGTTCGAGTTTCACCTCAAGGCCAACGACATCAAAGAGGAGGCGAAGAAGAGGGCGAGCCTGCTGAGTTCCTGCGGGAAGGGCACCTTCAACATTGCCAGGTCGTTGGTAGCTCCGGCCGACATTAAAACGGTGTCGTTCGCAGAGCTGATAAAGAAGCTAAAGGCCCACTTCTCTCCCCAACCTTCAGAGATCGCCTGCCGGCATGCGTTTTACAAAAGGAGCCAGGCAGGAAACGAGACCATCGCGGAGTTTGTGGCGGCCCTTTGCAAAGCAGCACGGCCGTGCAACTTCGCAAATGTTGAAGAGGCTCTCCGGGACCGTCTCGTGTGTGGCCTAAGAGACGAGAGGCTGCAGCAAAAGTTGTTTGCGCGCACTACCCTGACCTGGGCGGTGGCGTACGAAGAAGCCGTTGCAGCAGAGGCGGCGGACAAGTCAACAAAGGAGGTCCGTCAGCGGCTGGCCGAACAACACGTTCATTTTCAGCGGGACAGCGAGGGCGATGATGAGGACGATGTCGTCAACGCACTAAGAGGCAAGCGGACCCCAGTGAAACCTGCAGCGCTCAAATCCTGTTCCGGATGTGGCGGGAAACACCAGCGCGACTCCTGTTGGGCCCGAGATGTCGACTGCATAGCATGCGGGTGGCGTGGACACCTTGCCAGGGTCTGCAGATCGGCGCAGAAAGGTTCAGCACCCAGCGACCAAGGCAAACAGCATTTTCCTGCACCAGGAGCAACCCACTAGATGACAACAAACCTGACCAGCACGTCAGCTGTTCATCGCACCAGTCACCAGAGCAAGATTTCCGTGACCCCACTTCTTGATGGCAGACCCTGCACCATGGAGGTCGATTCCGGCTCGTCTGTGACGGTGATCTCTGCAGCGTCCTGGCAGCAGCTCTTTCCGAACCGAAGTAGGCGACGGCTCCAGTCTGCGGACACGAGGGTGTCCGACTTCCAAGGAAACAGGATTCCATTGGCAGGGAGGGACAATGCTAGTGTTGAGTATAAGGGAAAATGTGCTAACCTGTCATTTTTGGTCGCTGAGGGGGACCGGGTCAACCTACTGGGGTTAGACTGGTTCGAACCACTGGGTATTGGTATTTACGGTATAAACAAAATGTCTGAAAATAAATGGGACATGCTGTATGACCTTTTCCCTGAAGTGTTTGGAGAAGGGTTGGGGAGGTACAAAGGCCCCCCAGCTGCGTTTGTGTTAGACCCATCCGTAAAACCAATTAGGTTAAAATATCGAAAGGTGCCAATCCCTCTCAGGCCTAAAGTAGAGGGAGAGATTGACAAGCTCGTGGAACAAGGGGTCTTAGAACCTGTACCTTACAGCAGATGGGAAACCCCTATTGTTACTCCAGTCAAACTGGACGGGTCCATACGAATATGCGCAGAATATAAATGTACTTTGAATAAGGCGTTACAACAGCATTCGTACCCGGTTCCAGTGATAAGCCACATCTTGGCTTCCTTGGGGGGAGTCAAGGTGTTTGCCAAACTTGACTTGGCCCAGGCATACCAACAGTTGCCTGTCACCCCAGAGGCTGTGGAGGCCCAGACAATAGTAACACAGAGACGGGCTTTTAAAGTAAATCGGCTCCAGTTCAGTGTAAATGTAGCACCTGGCATCTTTCAGGGCCTAATGGAACGATTGTTGAGGGGGGTACCTGGCACGGTGCCCTATTTTGACGATGTGTTGATTGCAGGTGGGTCGGAACAAGAACTGTTGGACCGTGTCCAGGAAGTGCTAAAACGCTTCCAGGCCGCCGGGCTCAGGGTAAAGCGGTCTAAATGTACACTGGGAGTTGACAGTGTAGAATTCCTGGGATTTCGCATCGACGAAAAAGGAGTTAATCCCACGAGCGAAAAAGTGACCGCGATCCAGAACACCCCCAGGCCGGTGAGTAAGAAAGAGCTGCAATCCTTCTTAAGTCTGCTCAATTTTTATCATGCGTTTTTACCGCATAAGGCATCAGTGGCTGCCCCTTTGCACGCACTTTTGCATAAGGAGGCAAAATGGAAGTGGGGAAAAGCCAAAGAAAGGACTTTTGTGGGAGTCAAGGAGCTGTTAACTTCTAATGACGTGCTGACTCATTACGATGTGCAGAAGTTCCTGGTGTTAGCTGCAGACGCTTCACCTTTTGGAATAGGCGCAGTTTTGAGCCATGTGATGCCTGATGGGAGCGAAGCGCCTATCGCTTTTTATTCAAGGTCTCTATCTGCGGCAGAAAGGAACTATGCCCAGATAGACAAGGAGGGTCTGGCATTAGTAGCGGCTGTCAAAAAGTTCCATGATTTTATTTTTGGCAGGAGGTTTTTACTGGTAACTGACCACAAGCTGCTACTGGGGATTTTTGCGCCCGATAAGCAACTGCCAAACATCATGTCCCCACGGATGCTTAGATGGCCGATTTTTTTGCAGGCCTACGATTTTGATTTGGAACACCGGCCTGGGAAGGCAATTGGGCACGCGGATGCGCTCAGCCGTTGTCCTTTGCCCGACGTCGGCACAGACCCAGCTCCAGCTTGTGAAGTGTTGTCAATAGACGAATTTCCACTCGCCCCTGTCTCCTCTAAAGAGATCGCGGTAGGGGACAGCATACTGGGCCGTGTCCTCAACTGGGTGTGGAGGGGGTGGCCGGTAGGAGGAATAGAACCTGAATTCCAGCCTTACCGAGCCCGCCAAAAAGAGCTTTCTATCTCAAAGGGGTGTGTATTATGGGGAAACCGGGTGGTGGTTCCTGACAAACTTCGTAACAGAGTGTTAGAATCCCTCC